TACATTTTCTGTCACATCGTCATTAATCACACAAAGTCTTCATGTTCCAACAGGTCGGAGTCATCATCATCATTTGTCACGGCTATGTATGCAGCAACAGTGGAAAATATTATGCGGTTAATCATGAGTTTTAGACTTGGCAGAATACATGTTACAAAGACACAAAATAAAAGTAAAAATATCCCAACTCCGATGAGTAGTCTTTTTAGCACCTGTAGCCAGGAGCCAGTGTAAAGCCAAGAAAACCAGTCACTTGTATCACTTACATAGTCCTGATTTTGGGCCTGCTGGATCTGTCTCAAGGTGTTCAGGGCGTCAGTCATGTTTGATGAGTGTACATCGTCTGGTATGTAAGTGCAGCAGGTGTTGTTGAACAGGACACAAAGTCCCCCTTTCTCTGCTAATATCATGTCCAGAGCTACTTGATGTTGCATCACTGCAATCCGTAATGCATCGATTTCCTGATTCTGCTGTTCGTTGATCTTACACGAAGCGTTCAAGAAGCGTCCAAAACGGTAGTCCAGAGTTTCAATCCTCAGCATGTTTTTTCCAGCTCCCACCCAGGGGAACAATGAATGGAGTACTTTCTCTCCAGTAGTCCATAATTTGAATTCCTTGGGCACGTCGCTTCCCCATATCAGGTCATGTGGTTGAAGTTTAGGAAACGTTGATCTTCTTTTCCGGCGTGCTGTAGAAGTGGTGTTTACTGCGGTCATCCTGAAAGTGTGGTCTGACAGGAATATAGGAGCACATGTTCCTGTCCAGCCTGGGGGCAATATGAAATATCCCCGTTGTCCACATAGCCAGGCCATTCCTTGCACCCAGTACTATTAGAGGGTCCACTCATATTCACAGGGGCGCCCTCTCCGTGGCCTGCAGTTTGGACACAGTTTGTGGTGTTTCCAAGGGGTCTGTTACCTTTCTCTTGCTGATAACACATGGAGTGGTTCTTCCCTGGCAATTGGTCCAGGAACACATATAGTGTGGGGTGTGTCGACGTGCTGGGCATATGAGAACAGACATAATAGTCTGTATTTGCTGATTCTGCCTTTGTTCTGTCGTGAATATAACGGTACTAGGCATTGTTCATCCACGGATGGATGTGGTCTTGCGTCATGTCTCTTAGGTGAGAGTTGTCGTGTGTCCATCTTTTCTGTCTGCCTCGTGGTTCAGCTGTTTCCGGCATCAGCTGGAGTCCTGTAAGGGTGAGCGTTGTAGTCAAGGTAACCAGGAGGGTCCATGGCTACGTACAGGTCCGTCACACCCTACTACTAATAATAATAATGGATTGCATTTATATAGCGCTTTTCGGGACCCCTCAAAGCGCTTTACAATTCCACTATTCATTCACTCTCACATTCATACACTCATACACTGGCCAACACCAGTAGGCGGTAGGTGAAGTGTCTTGCCCAAGGACACAACGACCGAGACTGTCCGAGCCGGGGCTCGAACCGGCAACCTTCCGATTACAAGACAAACACCTAACTCTTGAGCCACGATCGCCCCACTTGGTTACTCTAGAGTTGGCCAATGGCTGGAGGTTGAAGTGCGAGCAATTCCCTACGGGCGCCCAATCAGCACTTCCCCCTCACCACTGAAGCAACCAAGTGAGGGTGAAACTTTCCCCTACTAGTTGATTTCTGTGGAGGAAGTGGAATCCTCTGGGACCTCAACCTTTTTGCAGTGGCTCTGATGTATCCAGGAGGGTCTCTCCGCTATTTTGCAGGCAGTTGGAGTGGTCAGAAGCACTTGGTATGGACCCTCTCACCATGGCAAGCTCCAATTTTTCCTTTGGAGTACTCGGACAAGGATCCAATCACCTGGCTTCAACCTGCAAGGAATGGGTGAAAAAGAGTCTTGCGGCAGTTTATTGTTCAAAACAACTACTCTGTTTATCGACAATCGAGTCATCCAATCCGATTTATTGATTTATTGATTTATCTAGTGGCTCGCTAGTAACTGGTAGTGGAAAAGGTCGCCCATGTAGAATTTCAAATGGGGACAGTTTATTATTTCCTTGTGTTATTCTCATCCACATCTTGACTAGGCCTACACATTCTGGCCATGGTCTGCCAGTTTCTTCCATTGTTTCCCTGAGCCTTTGTTTTATAGTGCCATTTGTTCTCTCCACTAATCCTGCACTCTGTGGATGGTAGGCACAATGATGTTTCAAACTGAAACCTAGTGCTTCAGATACTTTGCTGATCACGTCATTTACAAAATGGGTTCCATTATCTGATCTTATCAGAGTAGGAATTCCATATGTTGGAATGAAATGGTTGCATAGACACTTTGCAACTGGGATTGCGTCTGCTTTTTTCACTGGGTATATTTCTGGCCATTTTGAGAAAACATCTATAATTACTAGAGCGTATTTTGAACCCTGCCACTCATTCAATTCAATGAAGTTCATATGAATTGTATGAAATGGGTCAGGTGGAGTAAGAAAATGTCCTCTTTTTGGTCTTAAGTTACCTTGGGTATTATTTTTTTGGCAGATCATACATGTTCTCACATATTCTTTTGCTAAAGTTTCAAAATTTACAGTGTAGAATTGTTGGTTTATTATAAAGACCATCCCTCAGATTATCCCTCCTGATGAGACATGGCTTAAACCATGGCTCACTAGAGCGGCTGTTTCGTGTAATGATTTGGAAGAATGGGTTTTCCTGCTATTTTCATTATGTCATCAGTGTCTAGTACTGCTCCGTGTTTTAGCCATTGCTTTTGTTCTTTTGATGGTGCTGCTTTTTGCAGCTTTATCAGCAAAATTGTTTCCCTTTGTAATTTCAGAGTCATCCTTCTGATGTGCTGCACATTTGCAAA